ATCAGTAATTACACCAAATGTAAATGAATTTGTATCTTCAATCAAAAGGCAAGCTGGATGATCAGGGGGAAAAAACCTAACTCTATGCTGCCTATAAGAGGCTCAATCCAGCTTTAAGGCCACACATAGGCTGAAAATGAAGGGATGGGAAAAGATATTCCATGCAGATGAAATGAAAAGAAAGCAGGGATAGTGTACTTCTATCAAACAAAATAGACTTTAAGCCAGTGGTTCTCAACCTTCTGGCCCTTTAAATACAGTTCCTTATGTTCTGACCCAACCATAAAATTATTTTCGTTGCTACTTCATAACTGTAATGTTGCTACTGTTATGAATCGTCATGTAAATATCTGATATGCAGGATAGTCTTAGGCGACCCCTGTGAAAGGGTCGTTCGACCGCCAAAGGGGTCGCGACCCACAGGTTGAGAACCGCTGCTTTAAGCCAAAAATGGCAATGAGAGACAAAGATGGTCATTATATAATAAGCAGGTCAATTTATCAAGAAGATATAACAATCGTAAATATTTATGTACCCAACATCAGAGCACCTCAATATATTAAAGTAATACTAAGAGATCTGAAGAGAGAAATATACCCTTCCAAAAAAAACCCCCAAAACAACAAAAAACAGTAATAGTAGGGAATTTCAATACTGCATGTTCAACAATGAATAAATCAGTCAGATAGAAAACCAACAAGGAAACACTGGACTTGAACTATACTTCAATTAAATTAAATGAATATAACAGACATATGTAGAAAAATCCATCCAACAATAGCAGAATACACAATCTTCTCAAGTACATACAGAACATTCTTCAGAATAGATCATATCATAGGTCACAAAACAAGTCTCAGCAGATTGAAATCATATGAAGTATCTTTTCTAACTACAATGATATGAAATACCAGAAAGCAAGCTGGAAAATTCACAAAGAAATCAAAGGGAAATAAAAAAAATACCTTGAAACAAACAAAAACAGAAGCATAACTATGAAAGCCATTTAGATGCTGCAAACACAGTTCTAAGAGGGAATTTTTGTAGCAATAAATAAATGTATGCATTAAGAGAGAAGAAAATTCTATATTTATGGTGTCTGAAAGATACTTAGACTTATCAGGGTAATTACTTATTAAAGTATGGAAATGTCTAATCACTATGTTGTACATCTGAAACTAATATAATATTGCATGCCAACTGTAACTGAAAAATAATTTCTTAAAAAGGAACAAAAAAATCTCAAATAAACCACCTCACTTTATACCTCAAGAAACTAGAAAAAGAACTAAGCACAAAGTTTGCAAAAGGAAATAACAAAGATCAGAGCAGAAATAAATGAAATAGAAAAATGATAGAAAAGATCAACAAAATTAAGAGCTGACTTTCTGAAAAGATAAACAAAACTGATCAACCTTTAGGTAAACTAAGAAAAAGAGAGGATTCAAATAAATATAAACAGAAATGGAATGAGACGTATGATAACACAGAAATACAAGGACCATGAGAGACTACTATTAACAGTTATATACCAACAAGCTGGATAACTGAAAATAAATGGATAAATTCCTAGAAGCATACAAGCTACCAACACTGAATCATGAAGAAATAGAAAATCTGAACAGAACAATCTATAATAAAAGGGTAATATGCTAATTAGACTAGACATTTTCCAGGCTCGTTCTGGTTGTCCTTCCTGAGGAAGCCAGGGCTGGAGGGAAGCAGCCCGGGTCCCAGGTGCCTGCAGGCGGCCCCAGGGTACCCAGCCTGGTCCCAGGTGCCTGTGGGTGGCCTGAGGGAAGCCAGCCTGGGTCCCGGGTGCCTGCTGGTGGCCTGAGGAGGGAACTCCAGGTCCTGGGTGCTGGAGGGAAGCCGGTGTGACAGCCCAGGGAAGGAAGGCCTAATCTTGCACAAATTTCGTGCATCAGGCCTCTAGTCTATAATAATAAAAGCGTAATATGTTAGTAAGACCGGACATCATTCCAGCCGTTCTTCTGGACAAAGTTGGGGCAACCTATATATTCAAAGCAATCTCTATCAAAACTCCAATAGCAACCTATATATTCAATGCAATCTCTATCAAAACTCCAATAGCAACCTATATATTCAATGCAATCTCTATCAAAACTCCAATAGCAACCTATATATTCAATGCAATCTCTATCAAAACTCCAATAGCAGAAAAAATCCTAAAATGTGTATGGCACTACAAAAGACCCCTATTAGCCAAAGTAACGCTGAGAAAGAACAATGCTCCAATAGCAACCTATATATTCAATGCAATCTCTATCAAAATTCCAATAGCAGAAAAAATCCTAAAATGTGTATGGCACTACAAAAGACCCCTATTAGCCAAAGTAACGCTGAGAAAGAACAATGCTGGAGGCATTACACTTCCTGATTTCAAATTACAGTGACCATTGAACAACACAGGTTTGAAATGTGCAGATCCACTTATACGTGAATTTTTTTTCAATAGACCCTTGCAGTTCAAACCGGTGTTGTTTGAGGGTCAGTTCTGTGGTTAGAAAGCCATATATACAGAGGGCCAACTCCAGTTAAATGCATATTTTCCACTGTGCAGGACATGTGTGCCCTTAACCCCTGAGTCGTTCAAGGGTCAATTATAGTTCGTATATTACAAAGCCATAGTAATTAAAACCATGGTGGTAATCATTTTGCAAAATATGTGTAGCAAATCAACCAGTTGTACACTTTAAATTTACAAAATGCTATATATTAATTATAGCTCGATAAAGTTAAAAAGAAAATTTATAGGCTAATTTGATGGAGTATTTTCCCTTTTTCTGTTCTTTGTAATGGTACGTTACTTTCCAAGTCATATATGTATGTATATGTGTGTATATACTTGTATATATACACACACAAAAATACATATACACATATACATAAATTTAGGATAAATCATAAAATACCTTTAAGAAAATGGCTTACTTACCTACCTCCTAATTTGTCTGCAGCCCAACTTACCATCTTTCAAGATCTGTACTAACATAAATGGTACAATAAAGTAAAACTACTTTTGCTAAAAGAGTTATGGATTGTGAATTTTTTTTTAAGGTCAGACATTCAGAGTCACAAGTCAGCTGACAAGTGCTGCTCCAGATGCATAACCAAATGACACAGAACAAAATGGGCTGAGTTGACATCTTATCTAGGTAATTTGTGTAACTTCCAGCTCCTCCTCTTCCACCTCTAAGGACCGACGCAAATCAGCTGCTTCATTTGCTTTCCCCATTTACACACACATCGCTAACACCCCTCAACATCTGACCTTTATTAGTGGATCCTCACAGGCATCCAAACAAGGAAAACGAAGGCCTCCCCTCATCCTACTTAGTCATTATGGTTTTGAATGCTGTGAGAGATACACATGTGTAGTCCTTCAATGCTGAAGACAGTAACCATGCTTTTCAAATTCCAAATAAGGCAAATGAGTTGATATTTGCCTAAGGTATTTAAAATATGAAATATGTCCAATGCACAGTTCATCTTATATATAGTACCAGCAATATGTTTTTAGAGCCTGGCACCTCCAGTCCACACCTCTGTTATCAACCCCCCATATCAACTCAGCCTTGCCTTGCGGGGAACCCACACTCCCAACACCAAATGCCTAGGCTGCTCCTGCACATGGGCAGGAATGTGCCTACAATGCAGAGAAAAATCTGTGATGCTGTGTCAATGCAGGAATAATTTGAAGAAGAGATTCAGAATCCAAATTCCCTCATCAAACTTTCAATTCATCCCCCCCACCCCCAAAATAAATTGACTATGTATTTTATCTTATCTTTATGACCATGGAGAGGAACTTACAACTTAAATTAATCAACTATATAAATATAAATTATTATTATCCCACCTATGATAATCAGCCTACTGAATCTCAATATTGATCTGCCAACATATATTTCAGTAACCCTACTAGAATTAAAACTCTAAATAATTTTGTCAAGGACTAAACTATGTGAGGAGAAAAAAAAACACTTTCTTCTCTCTTCAATTTATGCAACTAAATACATTTAAGTCTTTTATTAAAATGTCAAAGCAAAAATAATAGGGATGGGGTAGAAAAAAAATTAATCAATTATAGTGGCATTGAAGGAACTGGAATGGAATTATGTTCTGCAAAGCAGGGAAGGGTGGTTTGGGAGGAAAATAGTCTTGTGTTGAAAGTCTAACTTTTGGGGAAACAATTGAGAAAAAAAAAGATAATACAGGAATGGGGAGAAAGTGGGAGCATATTATTGGAAAGGCAGAAGGGCTGGACAGAAAAGGGAAGGAGCTGCGTAGAAGCGTAAATGAGAAACCTGCCGACTGTGGGAAAGAACCTGGTAGAAAGAAGAGGACGCGTGGAAATGACACATAAGACTGAAAGGGGAGCTGCGAGTGAGGAGATGACCGGGTCCAGGATCCAGGAGGTGGAGGAGGCAGGAGGATGGGCTGGGGAGAGAGGGTGGGGTGGGGCTGTGGGATGAGGATGGCGGCGTAGGGATGCTGCGTGGGACAAGGGGCCGAGGCTAGTGCGGAGATGGAAGCGGTCAAGGATGGAGCTCCGCAGAGCGGGGTACAGTGTGGGAGGATGAGCGGGGCCCCGACAGAGGGCTTGGGGTGAGGTGGAGAGGCGGGTCTAGAGGGAGAAGCAGCAGAGCCTAGAGCAGCAAGGAAGACCCTGGCCCCGCTAACGGACTGAACGAAGGAGGCCAACTGGTGGCGTGGGAACATTAGAAAGGGATGGAGCGGAGGATAACGAATATGAGAGGGAGGGGGAGGCTGCGTGTGGGGGCGGGAGGATGGACGACAGAACCGTGGTGGGTAAGACCGAACAGGGTCGGGGCAGAGGCCGGTCCGGGTCTGAAGGGCACAGAGAACAGTCGGGTGGAGGAGGAAGGAGGTGCACTAAACGGCAAGCCCTGCAAAGCCTGGGGGGAGGGGGGAGCAGGTAGCCATAGGTGAGGGTTGGGCGGCTAAGTCCTCACCGTGGGGTCCGCACAGGATGTGCCCGGCAGAAGGGGCAGACCAGGCTCGGGGTTGGACATCATCGCATCCGCCACGCCGCCGCCGCCGCCTTGGAAAGGTTTTGTGGTCCCCGGTTGCCCGGGCGACGTGCCGCGTTCGCAGGTCTTTCTGCGTTCCATGGCGCTGCCACCCAGCCCGAGCACCTGCGAGTGGAGGGCAGGGCCGCGGGTGCGGAGCAACGGGTCTGCGCGTGATCTGAAGGCGGGACTCAGCGGTCTCGCGGTAAGACGACCCCAATGAAAGGGGCGTGGTTAGTAGGCGTCGCGGACCTGGCCCCGCCCCCCTGGGCTCCCTGGCCAGGAGATGGCGACGGGGGCGGGGTGGGGAGCGGGAGGCGGGAAAAGCGGCAGAGGGCGGAGGCGGTTGAGGGGAGACTGTAGATCTCGCGGGGCAATCCGGTGGCCAGAGTGGGCGTTGCAGGAGCTGAAGTAGAAGGGAAGGCCCTTCCTTCCCGCCTCCCCAGGCCTCCCCGCGCCCCGGCTTCCTGAGCGCAAGCGCTCTTTCCGCCCCGCGCTGGGAAAGGGGCGTTGGTCCCGCTGGAGTGTGAGCGGACAGAATAGTCCCAGAGATGTACATTACACAGCGTAGAGAACATAGTCATTAATATCCAGTAAGTGTGCATGTGCCAGGTATCCAGTAAGTGTGCATGTGCCAGGTGGGACCACTCTGTAAAGTACATGACTGTCTATACTGTAACATCTGAAACGGATACAGAATAATATTGAATGTAAATTGTTATTGAAAATAATAATAATTTAAAAAGGACCCTGGCGGGCTGCTCAGTGGTTAGAGCATCAGCCCGTGGACTGAAAGGTCTCGGGTTCGATTGCAGTCCAGGGCAGGTAACTCGATTCCTGGCCCTGGTTGTGGCCCTAGTTGAGGCGCCTACAGGAGGCAATCAATCAATGTGTCTCTCTCAGGTGGATGTTTTTCTCTCTTTCTCTCTCCCCCTCCCTTTCACTCTCTACAAATCAATGGAAAAATACCCTTGGATGAGGATTAACAAAAAAAAGGAGGGAGAAGAGGGATGCACCCAGGGGTGAGGATTAACAACAACAAAAAAGGATGTTACCTACCCCCGTGGTGCTTCCTGGGGGCAGGAGCTCTGCATTATTCATGATTGTCTCTCTGTTGCTTAAGGATGTTCAATGAACTAATGCAACCTTGCTGCCCCTAATCCTCCCACCGAGTCATCATCTGTCTCCTCCCCCCCCACACACACCTTTGCTTTTCTTTATTCTACTGTCAACCCCTGCAGTTCTGCACCCTCTCAACTCTTGCAGGCAGGGCCTTGCATATTGGCTTCAGGACACTCGATATTGGTTGGCTGAAGACCTACAGATGCTCGCCTCAATTCTGATCTCTAGGTTATGCCTGCCTGTGGCAGCATGGAAACAGCAGTACCACGAGGGGAAACACGTCTCCTTCAAATACAAAACTAAGTCAGAAGACTAACACTTAGTGAGGTGACATACTCTCGGCACCATATGTATTCTCACCTGTGGTGCTTTTTATAAAACTTGATTAAATTAGTCCTTAAGAGAAAATGTAACTCTCTCCTGACACATTTGCAAGAAGACCAAAAAAACAAAAAACAAAAAAAACAAACCACAAAAATGATTTATCAGCACCAAGGAGCTTAAAAATAAAAAGCAACCCGAACCCTGGACTCAGACCCAGCCCAACCCAGACACTGGATTCATTAGTTCTGAAATGGAGCCCAGGAACCTGGTTTTTATAACAGCCGTTTCTGTTGGTGTAAACAATAACACAAATGGGGCCACTTTAAAATGGAACTGGCACTGCCACGTCAGGGGAACTGCTTTGCAGGTCTTATGTCCCAAATCTTTGGAATGTTGAACAGGGCAAAATGTCCTTTGGCCTGGATCTAAGCAACGCTGTGCCTTGCAAAAGAACTGTTTGCAAAGATAACAAGAAAGCTATTGTTATACTACTACACTGCTGACTTGCCGGACTGAAAAAATTAAAAACACTGTTTAGGACTAACATCACTATGTTATGTTATTTACGCCAATAGAAATGGGTTCCTTCTATTGATGTAATTGTTTTCCTCCCCTTTCTCATGAACACCCATTGCCTTTGTCTCCTAGTCAGAACATTACTTGGGAGTCTGCCTCCATTAATGATTCCTGAATAACCATTCTTATTTATCTCAATAAATGCTTGTTGTATCTCACTTTGAAAGGCCTTTTATTTTTAGGTTAACAGTAAGCCAATTTAGGAACCTCATAGAGAGCAAGCCTTACACAGAGAGCATATCGCCCCATGTCATGAATGGGTAATCGTCAATACAGATATCAGCTTTAGTTTTATTGCTGCTTGTCAGAACAAATCCCCCAGTTGGATTTCATGAATGGATGTGGATCTCAGGGGCCTAGGACATGAATCCATTAGTGGCATCTGAAAAAGTTATTGGTGGCTGTCTGTCACACCCTGCCCAAAGATTTTCTTTTCTACTAACTATTCCTTTCCCCTTACTACTTCTGTTTTCTACTTGTCCCCCACTTGAACCTTTTTAAGTTTCTGTTGGTATATTACTGTAACTCAGGGGTTTAATACATTTTTAAAAACATTAATGATTATAATTGTTGAAGTTACTGATAACCTTCAAGTATCTGTTCATTGCATTATAAACTGAGTGGCCAGATTATTATGACTGGTCAGATTATTATGACCACCCCATCAGTACTTCATTGACACTTCCAAAAATACTGAATATTGAAAACTTCCTAAGCAAATACTCGCAAGGTTTCATTATTATTATTATTTGCATAACTAATTCACTTCATTGTACTGATGGGCTGGTCATAATAATCTGGCCGGTCATAATAATCTGGCCACTGACCCAGGATGGGAGCCAGTCACTGGGAGAATATTTCAAGTTGGCAAGTTCAAACTTCAGAGAGAGAAGATGCGTCTCTACCTCATTGATGCTGAGTACCCAGAATCACTGGTAACTAGGATCTTTGCTGACTCTTATTGACAGCCTAAACCAGCCGTGGGCAAACTACGGCCCAAGGGCCGGATCCGGCCCGTTTGAAATGAAAAAAACTAAAAAAAAAAAAAAAGACCGTACCCTTTTATGTAATGATGTTTACTTTGAATTCATATTAGTTCACACAAACACTCCATCCATGCTTTTGTTCCGGCCCTCCGGTCCAGTTTAAGAACCCATTGTGGCCCTCGAGTCAAAAAGTTTGCCCACCCCTGGCTTAAACCCTTACCAGCTATATGATCCCTCTGTCTGTTCTCTTAATAAAAGTAAATCCATTAGGATACAATTTGAAGAGCCCTTCTGGACTAAGTGCGTGGTTGCACTGGGGTCTACCAGTCACTACCTACGTTGGGTAGTGAAAAAGCCCGTGGGGGCTGGAGAGGGTGAGTCATGCCTAAGCCATTCCATGTCTTCTGTTTCTACTTGAGGAGTACTCTCTGCTCAAAACCCTTCTTTCCCAGAAGAGCACAATAGTTAAAAGGTTAATAGAATGCTTTTCACTCCTTTCGGAACCTAGAAATGCATGGTGAAGAAACCAGGCAGTGAGTGCTGCATCAGCGCCAAAAAGCACAGGGACCAGGGTTTGAGGAAGGGGCGTGCGGTGGGTGGGAAAGTCAGGGCTTCAGAAACCTGCTTGGACCCTGAGAAGGTTTGGCATGATTAAGAGTTTATATGACTCCAAAACATGACGACTGAAAACGGATTGCACTTCAGTCTGAACTCACCCTTTCCCACTTTGTGGAACAAATAGGAGAGGGCAGGAACCGGATCATCCCTGTTAGCTGATGTAGGAAGTGCCACAGTTTGAAGACTGCGTAACGCCTGGACTCAGAAGACCACAGAGACATTGCATGACCTTAGCAGGTTGTTTCAAAGCTTGGGGGATGGACAATATGGAAACACCAGGCTGCCAGAAGGCCAAGCCTGAAATAGGGCGTCATGTTGCAGTGTCTCCCAGGGACTCCTGAAGCATGGCAGGGGCTACAAACACTTACCTAAAATAAACATCTCCTTTTACAGAATTTTGTCCAAAGCTGGCTTCATCCAGAATTTATTTTTAATCCCGTGACAGTATTCTTCAGTATCTAAAAGTCACAGGGCAAATATCAAGCTGAATAGTGTGTGTGTGTGTTGTGTGTGTGTACATTGGAGTACTGGTTATTTCTGCACTGATTTGGCGCTCTACTTCCCTCTGCTGGATAAAAGTGGTACAGCATGGCCCTAGCTGGTGTGGCTCAGTTGGTTGGCCCTCATCTGGCCATCAGGGCTCATGACCAAAGAGTTTCGCCTGGACCGCAGGTAGAGAGCATACAGGAGGTAGCCATTCAATGATTCTCTCTCATCATTGATGTTTCTATCTCTCATTCTCTCTTCCTCTCTCTGAAATAAATTTTAAAAATATTTAAGAAAAAAATTTATAAACCACTTTAAAAAAAAAAAGATGCAGCATGGTTTCTGAAAAACACACCCATTTACACACCTCTAAGTTTGAAAGGGTTGGGGGTCTGGCTAGTGTTTGGCTATGGAGACCTTGCAGGGGAGTGTTCCTGAATCAGAATGCACCCTACCTTTCATTGCCATCAATCTTCGGTCTCTGGAATCTCTTACCTAGAACAGCCGTGGGCAAACTACGGCCCGTGGGCCGGATCCGGCCCGTTTGATATGAATAAAACTAAAAAAAAAAAGAGAAAAGACCGTACCCTTTTATGTAATGATGTTTACTTTGAATTTATATTAGTTCACACAAACACTCCATCCATGCTTTTGTTCCAGCCCTCCGGTCCAGTTTAAGAACCCATTGTGGCCCTCGAGTCAAAAAGTTTGCCCACCCCTCTACCTAGAAAGAGTGCCCAGGAAACTACCTCGATCTTTGCCAAGTATGGGTGCATAGAGATTGCCAAGCAGATTCTGGAGCAGATTTAGGACCCACAGGAAATCTTCACTTGACACAAAGTCACTCAATGTGGGCTTAGACTATTTTAGTCTTGCCATGGGCTCCTGCCAAGCGTTTGAAAACTTGTGTTTCTGTTGCGTTTTCCTCCCTGAAGTCAAATCCCATTCTATGACTTTAGCTGATTCATTTGGAATACCCTTCCCATTGAAAAAGCCTAACAAACGTTACCTGAATCAGCTGTGAGAGCTGAGCAGCAGAGGCAAGAATCCCGGTGGGCAGTTGCCGAGGCGAGGCCCAGGAGCACCTGCTTCAGCAGGGCGGCGTCAGATGGGAAACACGTGTGTTTTTAACCACACTGAAACTGACCGTTCTGGTTTCTCTCTCTATATTTAACATCCTACCGCAGAAGTTCTACTGCCTTCACGCATGTGATAAGATACCCCTCAGCATGTCCCCTGTGTTTATGTTTGAGAACAGCAAATCCCATTTCTCTCTTTAATGAAGTATAGCTGGGGAGAGAAGGGTGTCGGCCGATGCCGGTGATAGTCTGTGACATGCAGAGTGTTGAAGAAGAAGGAATGTGGAGGACAGCAGGAAATTCCCCACTAAAACACACGCAGAAGCCTGGCAAAATAGAGCCTGTCTTAATCTGAGTGGAGAGAAATCCCTCCCAAGGGCAAAGAGCCCCCACGGTGGTGAGAGGCTTCTGGGAGCCCACAGAGAGGGCGGATGTGTTTGTATGGAACGCACAGTACCCTGCTTGGAACAAAGTGATAAAAATAATGACAACAATTGCCAGTGTGAATACAAGGTTTGTGTTGAGACATATATATATATCCTCCCACGGTAAAATTAGTCAGGTTCCAAGATAATTTGTTCTTGGTTGGAAAAGAGAAACAGAGTGGGATGTTTCACATGTTGCCATGGGTGTCTTTAAGACATCGTTTGCGCTTGGAATAGTGCTCAAATTCACTTTAATGAGGAATAGACTGTATTTAATAGGTGGAAAGACTCACTAGAGCAGTGGTTCCCAACCTTGGCTGCACATTAGAATCACCTGGGAATCTTTTTAAAATCCTGATTTCTGGGCCTCATCCTCCAGAAATTGTTTCTTTGTTACTAATGTTGTGGCCCTACCCCATAACAAAGAAACAACTTCCGGAGGATGAGGCCCAGAAATCAGAATTTTAAAAAGATTCCCAGGTGATTCTAATGTGCAGCCAAGGTTGAGAACCACTGCACTAGAGAAGTGTAGGGACATAACTTGAGGATAGTCAGTGGTTCTTAAAACTGGTTTCGACTTCCTTGAAGGTCTTTCTATGGTTACAGGTGGCCTCTGGCACTAGCATTTGTAATGTGACTAGGTCCGCTCTGGATTCTAGCACAATACAGTTAAGAATCTCCCCATGGGCCGTGGCCGATGTGGTTCCATTGGTTGGAATATGGATCCCGTACAACCGAAAGTGGCAGGTTTGATCCTGGCCAGAGCACATACCCAGGTTTCAGATTCGATCCTAAGGACTTTTGCTTGGCCAGGATGTCTAAAAATAAAACAAGAACTGCATCTTTAGATTTATTTCATTTATCAGGGCAGAAAGAAAATGGTGTTCCATTTCCCTCTCATTTCTGCAGTCCTAATTCACACAGTCAGCAATGGAGAAGCCAGACCCAGAGGCCTCTGCATTCACTTAACTTTGTTGCTTCAGAATATGGACTGTGGATCCAAAAGCCCAAGTTTCTGTGAGAGTCCATCACGCACTAACCAGGTAGTCTTGGGCAAATTTATTTATTAGTTAATTTGGGGCAATAATAGTACCTGCCTAAAAAGGCTTGTATGAGGGTTAAATAAAAAGAATCTAAGAAAACAGCTCAGCTAAGGGCTTTGGCAAAGAGTGAGCACTAGATAATGTAAACTGTTATTGTTATTTTTATTCCTAGTTTACAGACTCTGCCCTGGATGTTTCATTGCATTTTTTCCCAGAAGATTACCCAGACTACAGACCAGTGTCTGCAGAACAGAGAAACATTCACTGCCTGTCTGGGAGGTGGAGTCAGCTTCTGGGCACTTAAAACA